GATAGATAGATAGATAGACAGATGATAGATAGATAGATAGATAGATAGATAGATAGATAGATAGATAGATAGATAGATAGACAGACAGACAGATATAATTTGCATATAAATTGGAGCAGAAATGAATTCAGAAACTACATGCAGGAACTGAATGGCAGAAATTGTTATCATGTCCCAAAGCATTGGGGGGGGGGGCTCTTCCCCCCCCCCACTCCCGCCTCCAGTATTGCCAGCCTGCTCACCTGGTAACCTGAGTCCTGGTGCTGAAATCGAGGGCCCGCATGGACTGCAGCACTTCCACACAACCCATGTACTGCGGGGCGAGAAGGAGAGCAGAGATAAGAAACGCGAAGGAAATCGGGCGTGCCCCGCCCTTTGATTCGATCTCTAACCATTTATATTCCGAGTTTTATTCGTTTAACCACCCTGTTACTAATTGAACAACCGCAGGGATTCCCTTTAAAAAAAAACAACAACTGCCGTGAAAAAGGTCGTAAAACGGGAGCAAAAACTCCCTTAACAAATGTCTCGCTTAGCAACGGGCTCAATTGCAGTCGTTAAAGCGAGAACGACCTGACAGGAAAACACCAACCTTCCTGAACAAGCTCCCTTGTTCCATCCTGTCGTTCCCCCCCCCCCCCCCCAAGTGTGCAAGCCTCACAGAACAACCAGCCTTCTCACTCACCCGGACCAGGTAGGAGACTCCGGAACCCATCACCTTGTCGTCCCGGTGCAGCCAACCCCGGCTGGGCTTGTTGACAAAACTCCCGTGCCGCGTCCACTCCTCGCCGCCCAGCTGACCGCCTTCGACCCGCATTTTCTTCCCGCAACTCAGTTTGTTCATATCCTGGGAATAGAGACCGACAACCCCCGTTGAGTCCGGCAAGGCCGCGGCGCACGGAGAGTCTTCGGGGACTCCCGGCTCACGGGAGAAAGACCGGAGGTTCAGCAAAAAGGCGGGATTGGAGAGTTTCAGGTTAGCCATTTTGGGGAAGAAGGAACACAGCGTGGTGGGGCTGCTCTCCGATTCGGGGTGATCCCCCGCAGGCAGCATGGGGCTGAGGGAGGACGAAGACCCTGAGCCGGTCAGTGACGGGGCAACCCCGAGGGAGGAGGAAGGGTCAGGAGACGGGCCCTCCTCGGCCACGGGGCTCCCTTCGTCCAGCGATTCATCCTGCAAGTGGGTGTATTTGCTTTTTGGGAGAAGATCCATTTTGAGGGGGCTACAAAGCAGCGAAGAGGAGGGAGCGAGAGAGAGGCGACCGCGATGGGGATGGTCAGGATCCCCCCAAAGTCCAACTTGATCCCGACGAGGCGTCTCGGTAAGTCCCTGCTGGCATGCCGGAAACAGGGGGGGCCTCCGCCGACTCCTGCTTGGCCCCCCTTTGCTGCCAAATCACAACACCCCCCTCCAAATCAGGCAAGCCGTCCTGTTGACTCAACAGGAATCGTCCCGCCAGGTGACCGGTGACCCCGCACGGCCCCGGAGAAGGCCGAGGGTTTTTTGGTCTGTTGCTGATGTAACGGCGCCCTCCGTGGGGCTGTTTGAGAAGTTCCCGGCCCTTTTCCTCCGGCTGCAGCAGGCGCCTGGTGAACTTCCGCCTGACTCGGCTGCTCCCAGGCAAAAAAACGAGGGCCAGGTTTGTGCTTCGTTGCTGATGCTACAGCCCCCCCACCCCACCCCAGAGGGCTGTTTTAGAAGTTCCTGGCCCTTCCCCTCCAGCTGCAGCTCCACCTGTTGAACCTCCGCCTGTGTGCAGCCGCCGAGAGGAAGGAGTTTCTAGTCCATCGCCGATGATACAGCCCCAAAGGACTGTTTTAAGACGTGCCCGGCCCTTCCCCTCCGGATGCACCGCCACCTGTTGAACTCCTGCCTGCCTTAGCGCAGCCTCGGAGACGAAGAGGGTGAGGCCTTGGCCGTGTCGCTGGCGTTTTCCCCCCACTAGGGGGCTGTTTTTAGAAGTTCCCCGGCGGCTCTTCCCTCTCCAAGCTCCGGCACCACCTGTAGAACTTCGGCCCGTCTCGGCTGCCGCCTGATGAACTTCGGCCCGCCTCGGCTACCCTTCCGACGCCTGGGGAGTCCTCATCCTCTCCGTTCTGTGCAAAAGCTCCGTCTTTACGACCTCTGGATGGCAGGCACCGGGCCGGTTATCTGTGCCAAGGCGTGTGAGGGGTGGGGGGCATCAAACAGCCATTTCTCCCGCCGACGCAAAACAGGGGGGGCTTGGCCGCAGCGGTGGCAGCCCCCGGGAAGCCCTGTTAAAGCCGGGCAAGCCAGCTGACGGCGACAATTTGAGGATGGTCGTGCCCAGCTGGTTGGGGAGGGGCGACTCAGCCCTTTAAAAGCCCAGGAAGGATGGGGAGTCTGTTTAGGGGGGTTAAGAGACGTCCGGAGACCCCTTTGGATAAGTGGGGGGGGGGG